TTCATTCTTTATTTCTCTTTCTCTTGCAAATATTTGTGTTTTTATGAGCTTTAATTTGTAAACACATTTTTTAGAGGTTTTCTTGTTTACAATTCTTTTCCTTTTTAAAAGGGTTTTGGTTCTAGCTAAGCCTTTGAAAAGTTAGGGAGATTGTAAAAGTTATCTCTTTATCCTTAAAAAATAAAGAACAAATTAATGGATTTACTGGAAAATCCTAAATAATGAGCTTAGATAGTGAACATATACTTCATTGATGGAGTTGAATCATTATAAATCATTTTAAAATTTTTCCTATATTTATAATCCTTACTCCCTAAATTTCAAAAAGTCAATTTACCCCGTTGAGCCAACAAATCACTTGGTAGAATCAATTCATTCGCGGTTTACGGTGACATAGATTGAGTCGTTGGAAGGACATCTGACAAAACTGACCCAAACTTCTACGTTGGAGGAATATTAAACAAAGTTTGAGAAGATGGCTTTGCGTACGACGACGAACTTGACTGAAGGGTTTCTCACGTAGTGTTTTATTTCGGGCTTAGGCAAAATATTAAACATGAGATGCTAGCTTTAACGATCCAATACCATGATGGATGTGTTAGCTTTAAATCAATTTTATGAGGCCAAAATTAGGGATGCAATAGAATATTGGGGCGAGTATCCAGGTCCAAACATCCTCCATTACTGCCAACACCCACTTATCAGATACAAGGGCCTATGGCATTACCAGGACAAACCTCACCCTTAGAGGCTCCTCTTATTAGGGAAAATCCCATTTATCTTCGAAGAATCTCGATAGCGGAGGCTCATGTATGACAAGAGAAAGGCCTTTGCTATTACTACAACGAGAAATATGCGAAACACTAGTGCAAAAACCCTCAACTATTTATTTTGGATGGTGAAGATCGCCATTAGAAGAATGAGTTAGAAAAAAATAACGACTGTTGATGAGAAGGAAAGACGGTTGCATCGCGAGGAAGAAAGCCATGAGCAGTTTATGGTATTGTTTAACGTCTTTGTCGGATGTGTAACACCCAACACCTTGCGGGTTCAGTGAGAGGTTAAGGGCAGAACAATACGAATATTAATCGATGGGGAAGCACCCACAACTTTATGCAGTCTCGAACGACGAGATAATTGAGATTAAAAATCATGGCTACCCCAAATTTTAGGACGTTGGTTGGCAGTGGGGAGAAATTACAGAATGAAGGATGTGTCCGAAATCTCAAGCTGCGGGTTCAGGGTACCGAAGTGCAGTCTGATTTCTACGCTAGAAGGGACTGAAATGGTTTTAGGAGTTGCGTGGATGGCTTCGTTAAGACTGGTCACCATGGATTTCTCTATACTTCGTTGTCAATATCAGCAAGGTGAAGTGGAGCATCAGTGATAAGGAAAAGTGCGTTCAAAACCTCAATCAGTGTGCTACCAAAGCTTTTTGACGAATATCGGAAACCAAGTTAGCGGCCAATTATTATTACTTGTAATTGAAATAAGACATGGAAGGAATGTCCAAACTGAGCCAAAAGAGATGTGTACAGTGATAGAAGAATTTACAGATATGTTTTTAGCTCCAAATAGGTTACCATCAGAAAGAGAACATGATCATTCGATTCATTTAGATCCAAATAGCAAGCTGATAAACAAGAAGCCATATCGATATTTTCAGAAACAAGAAGTAGAACGTCAGGTGCGACAACTCCTGGAACAACAACTTATTCGTAAGAGCCAGTCTATTTTCGTCCCCAGTTCGGTTGGTGAAAAAGAAATACGGAACCTGACAATTTTGTGTCGATTATCGAATGTTGAACCTCAAGTATAAATTTTCGATTCCGACGATCAAAGAGCTATTCAATGAGTTGGAAGAATAAAAAAAATTTTGAAGCTTGACTTGCTTGCTGGGTTTCATCAAATAAGGCTAAATACAGAGGACGTTTCCTAAACACATTATGAACACACGAGGGCCACTACAAATTTCTCGTAATGCCACTACAAAATTTGAACCATGAACGACTTGTTCAGACCCTTTTTATATAAGTTTGTGCTTGTGTTTTTAGATGATGTATTAGTTTATAACAAAGATTGGAAAGCACATGTAAAGCACGTAGGACAAGTCCTGCTAACATTGCGAGATCTTGTAATCGTGGCAAAACGTTCTAAATATGCTTTTGGGCTGGAGACAGTTGAATACTTGGATCATGTGATATCACGGGAAGGCTTGGCAGTGAATCCAACAAAGGTGGAAGCTATTCGATTTTGGCCGAAATCAACTTCGGTGAAAAGATTTTAGGGATTTCTTGGAATAACGGGATATTACTGTAAGTTTATTAAAGGATTTGCCACGATTGTTGCACCACTATTATATCTACTTTGAAAGGGAAACTTGTTTGAATGACCCGAGAAGCCTTTCAAACAGTTGAAGGGTTGTCTTTGCTCCACTCTAGTTTTAGGATTACCGAATTTTGATAAAGAGTTCACCGTGGAAATTGATGCCTCCGGAGTGGGAATCGGGGTAGTGCTGCATCAAGGACAATGACCACTAGCTTTTTATAGCCAGAAGTTGAGTCCGAGAATGCAAGGGGCTTCAACATATCATCCGGAGATGTTTGTTATCAGCCTACACCCAAACAGTAAGGAAGTGGCAACAATACCTTCTCGAATGGAAATTCATTATCATAACCGATCAAAGATCACTCAGAGAACTCACTCAACAAACAATCTAGAAAATTAAATGATATGAGTGACTCACTATCTAGAGATGGAAGCAAACTTTATGGCTCTTTCACGACCATTAGTTAGTGAAATAATCCACATACCAATTTTCCTCGCATAGGTTTATAGCTTATCTCAATGACCCGGCCCTTGTTAATTATATATTTGTGTAGTCTTGAAGCAGTACACTCAGACGATAGTGACCGATTAAAAAGTTAAATAACAAGAAAAGCATTCGCTTCAACGATTGACCAAAGTCTCAAACCAAAATTATAAGCAGGTATCGATGATTTTAGGATTTAATAGACCAGAACTAAAGTTATGAGCAGCTTTGATTGAACAACTGTTGAACGGCTGAAATTTAAAAAGGTAGTGGATTCAATATTAACGATGCGGTGACTGCATATAATAAATAAATGCAGAAGCGTCAAATCTAACTCATTTAATTGGTACTTCCTAGTCCCTTCTGCTCAAATTAAACATTTATTGAATGACTCACTGCTATCATAAATTTGGAAGTTGGACATCGCCATCCACAACCCCAGTTGTTATTTAACATCAAAACAATATACGTGTACCTTTCTTATCCCATCTCTTTATGATTTCTTATTTTAATTATTACAAGTTCAAATTTTAGTCTCAGGCAGCTTGTTCTTAATATCTACTTTTAGTTGCGTACAAATCCAACTTTCATTCAATTATATCTTGTTATATCAACTCTAGTTACACTTCTTAGATATATTGATAATCTTTATGATTTTCATTGTACATTGCACTTGATTGTCATTGACTTTATAATTATACTTGTATCCACTCAAAAAAAAATCTATTAAACACAAATGTTAGATAAATATATGTTAATACTTTTTCCAAAAAAAAATGGAAAGTTAATATCGGCAGATGAAAACTTAGACCATTGCAGTTTTAAGATCACTTCAAAGACTTGGATTATTCGAATCAGTTTGGCAGGATCCGAACCCGGACTCGAACGCTTCATTTCTTTTATGTCTAATACAAGCTTGGATATTGGTACTGCTGAATGATCGAAGCAAAACTCATATCTGATATTCACCCCAAGTACGGATAACATTGCTTACCCCAAAACTTGAAACAATTGCATTGTAAAAACTAATGTTTTTAAAACTAGATCAGACCATGAACCGGTGAAGGTATTGGTTCACTGGTTCAACCGTGGTTCAACCGGTTTGAACCGGATTTTATATAAAATAATTTTTTAAAATTTTTTTACATAATATTCAAAGCAATATTAACATATATATAACACTTTTTTTTAAGTTTACAATATTAAAATGTATAAAAATATCACAAGTCATAACATATATAAATTAAAAACCAGTTAAACAAAATGATTCAAATCAACTAAAACATAATATTTAAGGTAAAACATATTAAATAATAAATATAATTATATAACTATAATCAAAAAATAAATTTGGGACTTAAAAAAATCATAACAAACGATGTCGTTTAGTTTAATTTTTTTTAAAAAAAACAATCTCACATGGCTAAGAAACATAGAAGAACATCCCAAAAGTCTAAAGAGTAAAAATATGATAACAAAACAATCTCACATAACTAATAAACATAGAATAACATCCCAAAAGTCTAAAGAGTAAAAATATGAAAACCAAACAATCCCACATGACTAAGAAACATAGAATAGCATCACAATTGAATTCTATAAATAATAGAAGTAATTTGACATTCAAAATCATGGAACCTTTTGGTGAGCATAGAACGAACTATTCTTTCGCTTCAATTGAACTTGAATTTCAGGCTTCAATCGAGCTTCTAAATTTTTTTTGAGTTCGAGCCTTTTCGAGTTCAAGTTTCAATATTATATTTCGAGTTCGAGTTGAACTTGATAATTTTTAGCTCGTGAGTTTTTAAGTCGAGTTGAGCTTACTTTTAAATTTTTATAGTTCGAGTCGAGCTCAGCAATACTTGAGTTCGACTTGGCTCGTTTAACAAACGAAGTCGTTTTGGTTTAATTTTTTTTAAAAAGAAAAAAACAGAACCAGTGGTCACACCGATTTTCAGCCGGTTTTCAATCGGTTCATTGCAAAACTGATTTTGGAAGTTAATCGGACCGGACAGGCCACTGGTTCACGGTTCAACTGGTTGAACCAGCCGGTCCGGTCCGATTTTGATAACCATGGTAAAAACAAAAGTTTTTCTAGTGGGAAACTATTATTCGTCCCAGAAAATTTCTCAGGTTTTGTGATTTCAGCACACAAGACAATGCCCTAATTCTAGAGTTTGTGTATTATCTCACCTGATGGAATCTGGCTTCACAGCAATCTAAAGAGTGACAATTTAGAACTATTTGATAATTTTCCGATTGTGAACACCACGATGTTTCACTTACGGATGGAAAGATCAATGTGCAGGTAAGCTACACAAGCCACGAAAAACAAGAAGAATGCAGACACCAGCATCAGAGGCTCTGCAAGCATGAAGATTGGCTTGAAGGTGTAGTGAACCTGCAAAGAGGGGTCCATAAAGAAAACACATGAGATTGAAGAAAATCATGTTCTGCTAACATTAATGGGCGTGCTTTTTGAGGCTAAAAGATCTAGGCAGTGTCTCTACTCTATTATAGTCGAAACTGCAATTCAATCTTGGTGATATAGAATTGAGTAATTTAATTTGTAAATCTGATATTGGCGCCGAACCTACAAACAAGTCTATGCCAGCATTTTGACAGTTTTCTATAACACATTTATCAAATCTACTTATTTGCACCAATATCAGACTTGCAAGGACTAAAGACTACCTAGATTCATTCGAAGAGCCTCCAGAATAGTACTTCTGTATATCAATCATTCATCACTTGAAGGTTTCAGTTACCATGGTGATCTTTGCACCGAATTAGAAAATCACGAGGAGATGGACTCATCATGGACAACGATAAAATTGATACCAATGAAAAGGTATAATGCAAATGGAAGAGGTGATAAATTACCTGGAAATGAGAGTTGTGCGAGGGAACAAGATTCTTCTTTTCCATGACCACCACAGTCCTTCCCACAACATCAAGGTAAGAATATTTGGTCTGCAAGATTCAAATGGAACACATCTTTGTTGACGAATATGACAAAAGACAAAAGCTTGACCATAACGTATATAAATACATGCATGCATTGTGAATCTGATATGAAAACTCAAAAGAGATCATCAAATTGGGAATAATTACCTCAAGATGCTGCTCCACGGGAAAGGGAATCACAGCCAATGGGTCTTTTGATCCCTCAGGTAACACAACCTGAAGCATAGCATATTAGGTCCGATCATAGTAAATTCATATTTCCAAATTTTGAACAAATGTAAAAACAACTATAAGCCTACTTTGACAGTTAACTTGTCAACCACAGTCTCAAGAAGGGGGCATCCAAAGGTAAAGTTGAGGTAACGCCTGTCATCAGATGACTCGAAAAGGAAGTCTTGTAACGGTAGCCCATAACCGATGACAAAAGTTGCTTTCCAACCTCCAAATAAAGGATACCGTGGTTCAATTTCCAGTTCAGACTATAAGAGAACAAACTTAGTCAACAATCAACATACCAAAGAGAAAAAAGCTGCAATAGAACGATATAAAAAGATTAAAAAGAAAACCTTTCATATTACGTTGACTTTTGCTTAATTGGAACATGGGAAGTGATGCAGTAAGAAATAAATGGATGATTAAAAGACTGGGAAAAACCTTGTTGTGCAATAGTAACAAAATATAACTAAGCCAGAAATATAAAAAAAAACTTGCATTTAAAACGCAAGATGCAAGGGACCTCTTTCCATTATAAATGCATACTATTGTAATAGGAATCAATGTGGAAATGGAATAAAACCCATCGTTCCTAAAAACACATTCCTAAGTCATTTCAAATAGAAACTTACATGCCAACAGAAGAATTACAAATACAAGGGTTTTAAACATCTGCATGGTCAGACAACCAGGAAACTGGGATATTTGTTTTTAGGAATAACTCAAAAATCAAGAAAATTCTAAAGCTGGCAAGGTAAATGATTTGGTAGTTAAAGAAAAGCTGCAAGGGAACAAAGGAGAGACAAAATTGAAGAGAAACACATTTGAATACCTTACGGGAATCCATACGCAGGTGTGATGATGAGATGTTCCCTATTTCATCCCGGTAGACAGAATGAACCCTAGGAGGTAGTCTTGCCAGAAGGTATCGCAATGAGGACGTACCACTCAAAGTTGGCCTGGATTGGTACTCAACCCTGAAAATAGTATGCACCAGAAAACGACTATAAAATCATAGAAATGTGCATTTCTCGATCTTTCAAGCTGAATCCAGTTAGGCAGTATCTACTCTACCTTGAAAATACACCTTTGTGCCGAGCACCGCCATGAACCAATGTGTATTGCTCTGTGACCTGAAGGTTGCCCCAATGAGATATCTCAACTTCACGAACAAGCTCCTCAACCACAGGAAATGGGCTATTATTCTCAAAATGTACAAGAATTGGAGAAGAAGAGTATGGTGGATGATCCTCATATGGCCCATACTTCATTTCAGTGCCTGCACGGCTCGTGGGTACCACCCTTGTGAACGATTCCACCTTAGTACTTGGTGTCTTAATGAAAGTTGTTTGTTGCTTAATATGATACGGCGACAATATTAACGCACTATCACGATAATATACTAATTGAGATTCTGATTGGCCTATCTCTGCTGGAAAAGGTTCTAGGAAGTGTGTAAACAAGTACAACACTTCTAGTGTCGTACTTTCACCAGAATTTATGGGATTAGCCAAATAAATAGTAAAATATTTAGTGCCATTTGGTGCATCAGGCAGTTCAGTCGGTTTAACATCAAGACGGACTAAAGTAGTCTTCTTCCGCTTTCCTTTTGTCACTACTGCTTCAACTGTTGCTAGATGATCAACTTGAGTGGGTGGGAAAGCAAGAAGAATTTATGAAGTAGTCGAACTACCGGCATTCTCAACCTAAAAGAGATACATACAAGCACATATATTTATATACAATTGTGCACAGTAAAATACATAAAAATCTCAGAACACTAGATGTTAATAATATATTACTCGTACTATTGATGTTAGTACTTAAAGGTGCCTCGAATTAGTTCACCTGCATAAACCCGTAAGAAATTATAGATTCCATTGTTTATGATTGTTTTGCTATATAAAATCTGCTGCATCAGAAGTTGCTAAAAGGCAAAATCCTCTTTGATTAAAAAACCACATAATTACCTAAAAATAGTTCACTGAAATATAAGCGCTTGATAAAAAAGTAAATTATGCATTTCCCTATTAAAAATAGTTTAAATTTATTTCTGTAAAATGTTAATTCTTCAAAAATATATGTATTGAAACACATAGACACATACAAAAAAAATGGCAAGCACAAAATAAAATGATAAAAGCATTAAAAAACAAGTGCCCGACATAGGAAAAACTAGCAGAAACTTACATTCACAGTTCAATTTTAGGCACCCAATTCAAAACTGAAATATAAAACTCGACTCCTTTACACTAAAATGATTTAAACAATAATTATGGCAAGCACAAAATAAAATGATAAAAGCATTAAAAAACAAGTGCCCGACATAGGAAAAACTAGCAGAAACTTACATTCACAGTTCAATTTTAGGCACCCAATTCAAAACTGAAATATAAAACCTCGACTCCTTTACACTAAAATGATTTAAACAATAATTTATATATTTTTTTTTTGATAAAAGGGAAGGCCTCATTAAAAACCCCTTCATAACCGTCAAGCAACAAAGAGTCAACGGACATTGGAAGGAGGAAAAGAGTGCCTTAGAGATTTTATTGCATAAGAACCAATTACAATAAGATCAGACTACCACCCAAAAATGATGGCAGGCCACTCAACACAATGCAAAACATCACTACCTACATGAATATGTTTATACCCTACAACAAAACTACCTCATAGGTTAATCAACCAATTAGAAACAAATAACATTCCCTAATGTTCCTGATATACCAATAATAGAAAAATAACAACCCAATTAATCCCCATCATTTAACCAATTCCTTGTTTGGCAAATTCATCCGCTTCACAATTAGCTACTCTCACCACATGACGGACAATGACCTCTTTATTGACCACAATGGCTGCAATATCTTTAACAATGGATAGAAACATTGGAGTGGAGCTAGCTAGATATTTTATCCACTCCACTGCCACTGAACTATCTAATTCCAAAATGAGTCTTCGATTCACTGACAAATTCGAATCTAGAAACAGATTCAAACCTCTCCTCACTGCCATCAATTCTGCCATAATAGGAGGACCGGATCCCACTTTTTCTAAGAATGAACCCAACATCACTCATTTCTCATCTCTGATAAGCCCACCAATTCCTCCCTTCGACCACCACCTGTCCATCGCACCATCTACATTTACTTTAACAAAACCAGTAGGAGGAGGAGACCAACTGAATACCTTTTGTGATATTATTTCATCGAACATAACACGATCAGCTAGCACCAGATCCCCAACAAGACTATCAAAAGATACCATCAATTTAGGAAATTTTGAAGAAAACCATGATGTCACTCTGTACCTTGATAGAAAAGATAACAAAGTGCAATCTAATTTCCCATTATTAAAAATAATATAATTTCTCATTTTCCAAATTGACCACAGAACTGCTCCTGGGATGAAGGTCCAAACGCATGTGCATGGCACAAGATCTATCCAAACTGAAAATAAGGCTACAGGGCACTCTGGAATTGCAAAGGAAATATCCCACCGGCGCAAAAAGCTATCCCATAACCCCTAAGACACTTTGCAAGAAAAGAATAGATGAGAAATCGTTTTTTGAACCAACCCACAGAACGAACAATTAGGATCTTTTATACCTTGCACCCCACGTTTTATTAGCTCTACCTTGACCACAACCTTCTTGTGCACCACTTGCCAAATAAAAAAGTCAACCCTAGGAGGAGCTACACCGGCCCAAATATTTCTTTCTCAAGGAAAACTATCGAACGACGATCTCAAAAAAATTCAAGACAAGATTTCACTGAAAGCCTCCCATCTCCTTCTCCCGCCCATACAAGACTATCATCCATCGATGACGAAGGATTTAAATTATACAACAATGCCATAAGCTCATTCCATTGCATCAACTCCCAATCAGCAAGATTTCTCCTCATGGGAATATCCCAGAAATAGCTTGACGAATTATTTTTCCTGAAATCGGTGATCTTCCCCTCCTTGTTGATTGATAATGCGAACAAGCGAGGAAAACGTGCCCTCAATGAAACTCCATCCAGCCAAGCGTCATGCCAGAATCTTATTGAGTCCCCATTGCCCGTCTTTAGCATAAAGTTACTTCGCAAAACATTCCCCAAACTCATCATCGGAACAACAATTCTTCACAACCCCTTTCCATATCCAAGAAGCTTTGTAAGAGGCCGAACTATCCACCCCATAGTATTCGGATTACTATTGTTTTTGCAACAAATTATCCTTTTTCCACCAGGAATGTTTCTCCTTGGCAAACTTCCAGGTCAATTTTCCTAATAAAGCTCTATTCATAAGCTCAAGATTTGGAACCCCAATCCCTCCCAACACCTTAGGTTTGCAGGCAATCTCCCAATTAACCCAATGAATTTTATTTTTAATACTCGACTTTCCCCCAAAGAAAATTTGCCATAATTGAGTTGAGCCTCTTCAAAATACACCTCGGTAATCTAAAAAAACGACATGAAGTATATTAGTAAGGAGCAAAAGACCAACTTAATCAACACCACTCTACCAGCGATGGATAGAGAGGCAGACTTCCACCCGGTCAACTTTTTGTAGAACTTTTGAATAATCGTATCTCATAGAGACATTGAATTTTTCTTTGGCCCATGAGGAAGCCCCAAGTATTCCGTTGGAAAAGAACCCACTGTGCACCCTATTGCAACAGCCCACTCAGAAATAATCTCATCATTCACGTTGATACCGAATAACCTGCTCTTTGAAAGATTAATCTTCAATTCTGACATCAACTCAAAAATCAGAAGCACTCTTCTAACATTTTTCAATTCCCCAATAGACGCATTACAAAAAATTAACAAATCGTCTGCGAATTGAAGATGGGAGAGCTCAAAAGTATCTCCCGGACTCCCAATCTCAAAACCTCTAAACAAGCCTAACCTCACAACTTTCGACAACATCAAGCTCAACAGTTCGACAACCAAATTGAAAAGGAGCGGGGAAAGAGAGCAACCCTAACGAAGACCTCTCGCAATCCGAAATTCATCCAAAGGAGAACCATTCACCAACACCGAAATGGAAGCCGTAGAAACACACATTTTCATCCAAGATCTCTATCTCTGACCAAACCCCATGCAATCCACTAATTTCAATAGCAAATTCCAATCGATTGAGTCATACGCTCTTCTAAAATCAACCTTAAACGCTACTCCTTGAAGACCTTTCCTCCTCCAACAGTAGATGCCCTCGTTCGCGATAAAGGAACAATCCGTGATTTGCCTACCCAGAATGAAAGCAAATTGGGAAGGGTCAACTACTGCATCCATACATTGACTTAATCTTCTGGATAACACCTTTGACAATATCCTTATATAGTCCACCCATAAGGCTTATTGGTCTAAAATCCTCGACGTTTTCCGAATTCGATTTTTTCGGGATTAAGGTAATGAATGAATGATTTACCTCTTTATCCCATTTTTTCCCTGCAAAGAAATCACAAAAAAAACTTCATGGTGTCATCTTTTAATTCCTGCCAAAACTTTTTGAAGAACCCCATTGTCAATCCGTTAGGTCCCGGTGCCTTGTTGCTATCCGACGACGAAATTGCATCCCAAACTTCTTCCACTGAGAAGTGTCTCTCTAAAAACAAATTCTGATCCGCTGAAATCCTAGAGAAATTAAACTCCATCGCCTCCACCTCCACTGTAGGGTTCTTATTGAACGCTTCTTTGAAATAAGTAACCACGTTTTCTTTAATCTCTTCAGGATTTGATGTCAAATGTCCCCCACTTTCAGGACTTTAATAGCATTCACCCTTCCTCTGTTTGCTGCACACATATGGAAAAATCTAGTGTTGCAATCACCCTCCAAGCACCACTTAACACGTTATTTCTGTAACCACACTGCCTCTTCTTTTTTGTATAGATCCCAAAGCTTCCTTCTTGCCGAACCCAAAGATTCCATAGGGATAGTAGTGGAACCTTGTTGCATTTGCAGCTCCGATTCATGAATTATTTTTTCCAACTCCAAATTGATCGTTGTATACTGCTGAAACTAACTTTAGAACAGTCCTTCATTACCGGTTTGGCGCTTCTAAGAATATTGTATATTCCTTTTCTTCTACTACCCAGCCTTGCTCTCTAAAATTCCTCGACCATTCTATCCTTGAATCCATCTTCTTCCATCACGTAATTGAACAATCTGAAAGGTTTCAGCCCCCAATCCAAACCCTTGCTTTCCAAACTAATTGCATTGTGGTCCGATAAAGATCTCATGAGCAAAATCTGACTCACAGATGGGAAGACCGACAAGAAGTTATAATCCACTAGAAACCTGTCCAATCTGACAAATGTTGGACAATCCCTATTATTTCTCCAAGTAAAGTTACCACCCGACATAGGGAGATCATTCAGGCTAGCTTTTTGTACAAACTCATTAAAGATTGTCATTGAGAACCTGTTGTGACCTCTCCCCATTTTATCTTCTTCTGACAGGTATGCATTAAAGTCTCATCCCAAATAAATAGGACCTTTCAAAGGCTAACAACTCCTCAAAAAAAGATTCTTTTTCCAAATCAACAGTCGGTCCATAAACATTAATAAACCAACAAGAAATAAACATTTCTTTCAGATTACCTTTTACTGCAATAAACCTGTCCTGTACATATTCTGTCTCCACCTTTAATTTACTTTCATCCTAAAGCGTTAACAATCCTCCTGAAGAGTCGACTGCTGGAGATTTTACAAAACCTTTCAAAAGATTTACTCCCAACCTCCTCCTTAAGGAAGGAATGATACTCTCCAACTTCGTTTCTTGAATGACCATTAGCATTGGCCTCTTCCCTAAGATAATATTCCTCACAGCCCTAACCTTTTCTTTCCTACCCAACCCCTGCACATTCCACGTTATCATACTAAAACTCGACATAAAAAAAAGAAAAAAAAACACCCACTACCCACAGGATATCATTGTTCATCCGCCATCGTATTTTTCTCAAACACTGTCTTCGCCTTTTCCATGAAAGCTTTTTTTCCTCCTCGAAACGTAACACCCATCAAGTTGCTTACTTCCCAACTAGCCCGAGCTTTTTCCTCCTCATCCGAACAATGCCCTAAGGACTTTGCTTTTTCCTTCCTTTTTCTCTCTCGAATTGCTCCTTCCCCTACTTCTACTATATACTCTCTTGTAGATTTTATTTCCGACACTGTTGTTTGACGCCTTCTTTTCTATCGAGCAGCCATGATTTGGAAGAGAGCCCACTAACTTGAATTTCCCTTGAGCATCAAGCTGAATCGAACCTCCTTCGATGTAACCTGGAACAATACGTAAGTTGGAAGTATTTTTATCAGGAGAATTATGTCTGATGGACCCAATCTCACCATCTCGAATTTGCTCGTTAATATCCCTATTTGAACCCGATAGTTTCTGCATCATTAGGATTTCACAATTGTCCTTCTTATTAATATCCACCTCCACCGAATTTTGATTTCTCGGAACTAATTCCTCAATAATTCCGGTAGCAGAGGCAAGGACGCCACCTGTCAGCAAATCTGGATCGCACGGAATCGAACTAACCTTGTTCATCACTCCAACCCCTTAGGCAACATCGTCCCTCAAAATCCCATCAACATCGCACTGATTCTCCGGTGATTCTTCAACCCATTCATCAGAAAAGTCTCCATCGCTCTCGTCATTCGTTAATAATTCATATATAATATATTCACACACACACATACATAAATTATAGTAATCAAATTAAATAAACTTGTAGTATTAAGAGAGAAATTACCTTCAAAGTCAGGTAAACTTTGACAATGTGGGAGGTCAATTCAATCTGCAACAACCAAAAACAATATTTAGAAAATAAATAAGCTCAAAAGAAGACAAATTAAACAAAATGAAATAAAAATATTGAGATCAAGTATCTTGTAATTTTTATTTTTAAAATTTGGAGCTTCTATGATCCAAAACTCATATATAATCTTACCTAAACTCAGTTCTTAAAAAATTGGAACTGTATATCCTAAGCCAAATTAGCCAAAAAAATTAAATAAGTAAGCTCAAAAGGAACCAAATTAACCAAAACAAGACAAAGAATATTAAGATCGAGCATCTTACATTTTCTTTAACGATTGGAGCATTTAAAATATAAACCCACATATAATTCCTTACCTAAAATGAGTTTTTTTAAAATAAATTTCTGAACCACGCATCATAATTTTAACAATTTGGAATAAATCCAAGATTAAAAAGTGGAAATATAGAAATGAGAGAAGGGAGGGGTTGATGCTTACTCTACGCTCAGCGTTGGAGATCAATAGATTATGTAAAGGAGAGGATCTGCATACGAAGAATAGAAGAAAGAAGAGAGTGAAACCCAGGATTTTTGTAGCCCTGATCGGAGCCTCCATTGGAGTAAAACTGGCTTCGATTTTGGGGCAAAGTCTTCCAGGACCAACAACGTAGAAATAATAAATGATTGGTTGTGTCAACTCCATTGGGCCTTGCTACTGCACTATACATCTTTTCATGGGACTTATAAGGGATCTACTGTCATCAACCGCTGCACAGCTGATCTATTATAGCGTTTTATTAACTATTATAATAATAATATGAGATGATTATAAGATAATATTTATTTATTTTTTTAATTATTGATAATATATATTTTATAGACATAATTATTTAAATTTAAACGGTAAATAATTATTATTATTCTTTAAAATCTCAAATTTGAGAAAAAAAATGTTAAGAGTTGAGCATTTAATGTCATAAGAAATTATCTTCGAACAAATTCTATTTTATATTTATTTAAAATTAATAATTTTTTTTAAAAAATAATATTATCTTTAATTATCGAGATCATTTAACTGAGTTATCCGCAAGGTTTCTAAACAACACAAGGATTAATTGCTCGAAATGAATTCGAATTCGAATATTATTAGGGGTGTAAAAGAGTCGAATTCGAATATTATTGAACTCGACTCGAATCGAAAAATCTAAAATAGAGCTTGACTCGACTCGAAAACTCGCGAGCTTAAAATTTTTAAGCTCGACTCGAATTTGAAATCTTGAACTGAAGCTCGTAAGCAGCTCGAAAATTGCTCGAAATGAAATTTTTTTTCTTAAACTTAACAAGATTGAATCCTCAAACTCGAACATGAACCTTAAATACATAAAAGTCTTATTGTATTTTTTAAAAAATAAACACATAAATGTTAATATTATTAATAATTTATTTTTAAAAAAAAAAATCTTAATATATTATATTTTCGAATCGAGTATCAAGTAGCTCGTTTCGACTCGTTAAGAATTCGAGTCGAGCTCTAATTTAAGTTCGAGTTCATTCGATTCAAATATTTATTAAATTTTAACCGAGTTGTTAAATAGCTCGCGATATGTCTCTCTCATTTACAGCCCTCCACATCATGTCATCGAATATCGTACGGTCCATACAACTGCACCATCATCCCCTTGCACGTTAGCCTTTTCCACCCTCCCCTGCTAACTTGCACCGTCTGGGTTGATCTAAACCTAGCTTCCTCCCCATGTTGTTTCCCGCTTTGTAAAGACTATTGTCAAGATTTTCAAGCGGCTTCAGGTGGTTCTCCAGGTTTTAATTCTTTTTTTTTATTTCCCCCAATTTATTTGATAGATTTTTAAAAGCAATGGATTTGGAACTTTTACCCTAGAACTTTGGGGTTTTATGTAGTTTCGATTGAAGAAAACCAAGAAACAAGAGAAATCCACGTTTGGAAACGTGTTAGAACAATGGAATCGAGCGATTTAGAGAATAGGGTTTTTGTTAATTGTCATGCCTCACTTTGAAACACCCATGAGCAATGTTTGTTAAGGGCTCATGATTTGATTGGGTTATGTTGTTCTTCGTTGTTTAGAATCTTTGTTGTAAATGGGAAATGTTGAAGTACCAAAGTGGCTTAAAAGGTTGCCATTGGCACCTGAACTTCGGCCGACTGATACAGAGTTTGCTGACCCCATTGCATATATATCAAAGATTGAGAAAGAAGTTAGTTCTTATGGTATATGTAAGATTATCCCGCCATTTCCAAAACCATCGAAAAAGTATGTTTTTAACAATTTGAATAGGTCGCTGTCCAAATGTCCGGAATTAGGAAGTGATGTGAATGTTGATTCTGTTTCGAGTTTTGGGGATATTGGTGGTGATGAAGCGGAAAGAAGGGCGGTGTTTACGACTCGACATCAGGAGCTGGGAGAGAGTGGGAAGAGAATGAAAGGGGTGGCTAATAGTCCACTATGTGGTGCTCAGAAGCAAGTGGGGCAAAGTGGGGCGATTTATACAGTAGAGCAGTTTGAATCCAAGTCTAAGACATTGGCAAATAGTTTATTGGGTGTGCTTAAGGAGGTATCACCATTGCATATTGAGGCATTATATTGGAAGTTGGCTTCAGAGAAGTCTATATATGTGGAATATGCTAATGATGTCCCTGGATCAGGTTTTGGGGAACCGGACGATCAATTTCAGTATTTTCATAGGAGGAGGAGGAATAGGATGTCATACAGGAGGAAAAACTCAGAATTTAAGAAAGATGAGATTGATACTGTAAATAATTCACAGAGGGATGAGATTAAAGATACTTCCGTTAAATGTAACCTAGATAAACATGTAGAAACACCCAAGTCATCAACTACATTGTCAACCATGGCATCAGATGGAAGTTCTCATTCTAAAAGAAAGAATGGAAATGCTGGAAATGATATGGAAGGTACCGCTGGTTGGAAGCTATCAAATAGTCCTTGGAATCTTCAAGTGATTGCTCTCTCCGCTGACTCACTTACACGTTTTATGCCTGATGATATTTCTGGTGTTACTTCTCCCATGGTTTATATTGGCATGTTGTTTAGCTGGTTTGCATGGCATGTTGTTTAGCTGGTTTGCATGGCATGCTGAAGATCATGAGCTTCATAGCATGAATTTTCTTCATACTGGCTCTTCAAAGACTTGGTATGCTGTTCCTGGAGATCATGTTTGAGGAAGTTATCCTCACCGAGGGTTATGGTGGTAACATTGACCGCTTAGGTATGTCACTTTTTTGTCATCTTATATTAGGTTGTTGAGAATTACATCGGGGTTGGATTCAAGAATGTTTTGCATGATTTCATTTCATGGTTTATGGATTATAGTACATATTTTGTTGACATTATTTCATTTCATCATATATTAGGAACGTTTGATATCCTATCGGACATAATTGATTATTGCAACTTTTATATCTTTTGAGTAATTGTATCCTTTATTGCCAGCTGCTCTGTCATTACTGGGTGAAAAGACAACTCTTCTATCACCTGATATGATTGTCACATCTGGCATTCCTTGTTGTAGGTGAGTTGATTTTATTCTTTTGAGTAATTGTATCCTTAGTCTTCCCTGATCTCCTAATGATATTGAACTTGCAGATGTGAGGATGTTAACATCCCATTCTTGGAAAACTTTTGAGGCTTGCTTTGTACTGCAAAGTCTGCGATTTGGTGTTTTCTTCTGAAATTTTGAAATTCTACTTTATTCTGTTGTTTCTTCAGGTTAGTACAGAATCCTGGTGAATTTGTTGTGACTTTTTCGAGAGCCGACCACGTAGGATTCAGCCATGGTAATTTCTTTATAGTTGATTTTCACCTTTATGAGAATTTCATCAATTGTGTTGCTCCTGAATGGGGATCTAATACTGCATATTTATGTTCTATTGACTATAAGAAGCACATAATGGAAACTGTGCAAAATATTAATGAACATGCCTTATTCAAGAAACAGTTTTTTTTAATAGGCACACATTTTAGCTTGACATGATCTGGTAAGAATGGATAGAGAGGTTCTCATAGGGGTAAATTGTCTGGAAAATTATCGGCGTGGCATAACAAATGTGTTTATATTTAAAAAATTTGAGGCTCCAAACGGGATTGATAAGTTTCACTTCCTCTGTTAGTTTTGGAAATTATTGACTCGTAATTATGAGAAAAATAGTTCTCTTTTTCCCTTCTAATTTTCTTCCTTCTGGAGAAGAACTAAAAGGGAGGGGACAGGGAAGAATTTCATTGTCAAAGCGTTTTGGTCTAGGTTGGGTGGGGGATGAGGCTATCTATCTATCATTTGTGAGCAAGGTCTTGCTGATGGTGATCTCATTAATCATCATGCTTAAAGGTATTTAAAATGAGTTCTGAAGGTGGACGTCTTATGTGAAAAATACTCTTATGACGTATGTGTGATTTTACCATGGAACTAGAATTAGGACTAACCTGAAATTATCTGTGTACCAATGTTTCATAAACCACCACAATGCGGAAGGGCCTTTTAGTGTGGTCATTGTGAACCTACATCTGAATATTGTCTGAGACTGTGTTGCTTTGCTTCTTCATTGTTTTTGAAGTCCCAATGTCCAATGCATAACCACGCATATTTATGGTGATATGATCCTCCCTGGACCATCCAAATACATTGAAATCCGTGAAAATAAATTGAGCATACATTTACTGTGGACTTTTTATCACTTTCCAATTCTCATTGTTTGCTGTGGTCAATTGTTTTACTAAACAGGTTTTAATTGCGGGGAAGCTGCAAACTTCGGAACTCCACAGTGGCTTCCAGTCGCTAAAGAAGCTGCTGTGCGTAGAGCGGCTATGAACTATCTTCCAATGCTTTCTCATCAGCAGCTGTTATACCTTTTGACCATGTCTTTTGTGTCAAGGTCAGTTTGTATTTATCTAAGCAAAACATGGATTGAAGTTATGCTATATCTGTTTGTTCAGAAATCTGGCACTATGAAGATTTATATTCTTGATATTTCTTTGCTCAGTGGATGAGGGTTGCCCGATGCAGATAGCATGTCAAGAATTGAAACAGTGGGCCTACAGGCAGCTGTTTCTGTTTCTAATTTAAAGTTAATAAATATAAGGCTCAGTATAGTAATATGCTATGTTTTTTTGATAAAATAGTAATATGCTATGTTGATCCGACTCTTTATATTTGTTTAGTACTTATGTTTGAAACCTATGTTTTTAGTTGTTAGGAAACTGTAACAAAATTTATGGCACTGTTTTTGTTTATACTGTTTAATCAACTGCAGTTCATCCCAAAATTTATGGCATCTTTGTTTTTTTAATTGTTTTATTTATTTATAACAGTTTTAGACACAAAATGAACTTGTGTATTTAGAACAATCTGTAACCAAAATTATGGCATTATTTTTGTCCTTTAATCAACTGCAGTTAATCCATAATTCGCAAATTATGCCATTTTTTAATATCAAGCTTAATTCACATAGGGTTCTGCGTAAATCTTTGTAGTTCTTTGCATTATTTTTCTAAAATTTGGTTGTAATAATATCTATTGAGCTGTCTCGTTTCTCATGTCTGTTTCACATAATTTGTTTCCATTATAGGATACCAAGATCCTTGCTTCCTGGTTCTCGCAGTTCACGTCTGAGAGATCGCTTGAAGGAAGAACGAGAGGTGTTAGTAAAGAAGGCATTTATAGAAGATTTGTTAACTGAAAATAAATTGTTATCTCTTCTTCTAAAAAGAGAATCGACTTATAGTGCAATAATGTGGGACCCTTTGTTACTTCCTTATACGAGCAAAGATTCCGAATTACCCAGCGGAAATGCTACAGAATCTGGGATGCTGCAAGAAAATATTTCTGACATTCACATTGAAGATAAATCTGATCAAAAGAATCTCTTAGATGAGATGAGCTTCTACATGGAAAATCTGAACCATTTATATTCTAATGATGACGATCTGACATGTGATTTACAAGTTAATTCAGGGACACTGGTCTGTGTGGCTTGCGGAATTCTAGGTTATCCATTTATGTCTGTGGTACAACCATCTGAGGGAGCAATGATGGAACTACCTGCGTATCATGTTTCAAGACAAGGTCCAACAGTCTTGGGAACTAAGAGTTCTTGCCGTGTCAAGGGCTCAGTTTTGGGTATGAGACCCCTTTCTCATAAACTTTTGTTTCTCAAGTTTATCATCAGTTCATTTCTGACTTAATGTTGTCCATCACTCAAATTGTCACATACATGGTCTGATAATATTCGTGTGAGTTAAATGTGTTGCCCTAAACTTGGAGTCTAGAACTTATCTTAATTTTCTTAAAGTAGTTATGTCCAACAGCGATGTTTTACTTATATATGGACTTGGATATGATATGCTGAATACATACTTATATCCTACACTCACACCCAAATCCAGTAGTAGCATAGGTTGGATGTGCTATGATTTTCTCAATATTCAGGTTTATGGAAGAGGGTTGAATGTTTTCCATTGAGGCTCTTTGTTTGTTTTCACGGTAGAAATTGAAGGCATTTAATTGAACTGGAGAAGTTTGCTTCACCATCTTTTCAGGCTTTTCAAATGATAATTAAAGTAAACCTAGTGCTTTACTCTGCAGACAACCTCAACCATGTTGCAGATCTATCACTTCCTTCCAAGGATTCACCATTACAATCGATAACCAAGTTTTCCAAAGGATGGAACACCTGTAATAAATATTTGAGACCTCGGATTTTCTGCCTGAAGCATGCTGTTCAAGTTGATGAGCTTTTGCAGTCCAAAGGTGGAGCAAAAATACTGGTGATTTGCCATTCAGGTAAGATTGACTTCCGATCTGCCTGCCCGAATATTCTATTCATCAAATCAGTTTATCTACATTTAGGCTGCATTCCAGTTTTTATCAATGACTGATCAAAAAGTAGAAATGAACAGCAGACCCATGACGTGACTACCCATTCCTGACATCTGTTTCTGCATCATACTTGGACACGAGTATGGAGATATGATCTTCTAATGATCCTCCAAATACATGAAAATTTGTTAAAAAAACTTGAACCCATCCCTGTTGGACTCATACCCGAATTTTAAACACCCAAGTCTGAGTTAACATGTTAAAACTAGATAACAATGGAAATAGAAGAATTAAGAAAAGAATCGTAATTTTCACTTGTTTAATTGACAATCAAATACAGCCTTTTATAGCCTACAAGAGTGTTCAACTATTTTGGAATATTAGCTTAAACTAGGCTAGTCTAAATCATACTGAAATCAGAACTGATTTCAGTATTTACAGCTTGCATTGGTAATTTTAGGAAATTATTCCTTGAACCATTGCCAGATATTTAAGGATATGTCTTCTTAAAAATCCGGGTAAAAAAATGTCAGATTTTGTCAACATAACATAGGTCTGTAATTGTAATATTTGCTGCTATCTGCTATTCAACCATTTCATATATTTGCTTCTTCGTTGTTTTGAAATAGTTCTTTAGATCTTTTCTCTGATCTGTCAGATTATCAGAAAATAAAGGCACATGCAATACCGGTTGCGGACGCTATTGGCATCCCTTTTAATTACAGTGATGTTCCACTAGATGCAACATTCGAGGAGGATCTGAATTTGATAAATTTTGCAATTGATGATGAACATGATGAAATTCAGGAAGACTGGACCTCCAAACTTGGTGTTAACTCGCGGTACTGTATCAAAGTCCGAAAAAACTATCCATTTAAGCAGGTTCAGCATGCACTACCATTGAGTGGTCCTTTTGCTGATAAATACAGCAGTTCGGAGTTATTAAACATAAAATGGCAGTTACGAAAATCCCGTTCAAAAAGCAAGTTAAACCATCCATCACCATCCAAACCACATCAAAGCGTCGTAACGGAAGTAAATGAAATATTGGTGGAAAATTTTGATAGTAACATTTCTAATTATGGACATAAAATTATTCAGTATTTAAGAAGGAAAAAGAGAGAACATGATTTTTCTACTGGAGCTGGCGGGGGCAGTGAAATGTTGAAGATTAAGTTGCCAAGAGAATATTTGGATGCGTCGAGTCAACTCCTTGATGAACATGGTGGAAATAAATCCAAGATAAATGCCAGAAGTGACTCAATTCAGAGACAACTTGAGATCCTGCCTTCTTCAGTGGCAGAAAAGGACCAGAACAAAATTTTGGAGGAATTGGATCTGGATGATGAAACTTGGAGTTTGACAGCCTGTGCTAGTTCTCAAAAGAAAAGCGTGATCAAGCTTATGGAGAGTAACAGTAAGAGTGATGAGATTTATCCTGCCGATGAGGGTTCTAAATGCTGCATTTTTTCGGATGATGAAAGGTATGTGGAGAACACTGCCATTGCTACTGAGGTTTGCAGCAATCCACTTTCTGAAGGACAGAGTGAGGCACTGGCTTCTGGCTATGGTTCGGTAAATCTTGGTAGCTCAACAAGTTATCATTCTGCTCAGCGATGTGCTGGAAGATTTGATCAAGGATGGGAGGACATGACTGTTCCAAAATTTTCCATAAACTCATGTATGACTTCTGAGAACGAAGCGCAGCAAGAAACTGAAGCTACCAGCAGAAATAACTGCAAGGCGATGTTAAGATCTGAGGATCCGAAGGAGCCCTGTGCTGCAGCATATTCTTGTGATGGTACGAATTCCAAGAATAAAGAAGAGCGGCAGGAAATCCAGATTAATGCAAGCAAGGAAGGGCTTCTCTCTGGTTCTGTCATGCCAGGGGGAAGTGATCGGTCTGCTAACCTCTCTGTTGAAGATTATTCCACAATTTCCAAGAATCCTTGTATCAATCATACTGATGTGACCTTAGATGTTGAAGTATTGCAAGAAACTCGAGGTACAGAAAGAACCGCTGAGGATGAAGTTATAACTGGTTCCAATTTGCCAATCCAAGAAAAGCACCCTACTCAATTGGTGATAGAAGCTTGCTCTGAGGTCCACCAAGATAGCGGTTATCTGGAGAAGCCGAATGATGCTGCAACAGCATATGAAGAAACTGTTTCTTGCTGTCATAGTCCTGTAAATCAGACAACTATCGCAACCCAAAGCTACTCAAGAACAAATAGAGTAACTCATACTACCGTGAATGCAAATGATGGCGAGGAAGTTTGTTCGTTGGAAGAGAATGAAGATCACGGGTCTTTTATGGCAGGTTGTAAGCCAAGGGCCATCTATGGAAGAAAGAAGAAGAGAGAACTGGAGAAAACACCTGAAAAGGTTGGTGGTTATGGCTTTATTAGAAGTCCATGTGAAGGGTTGAGACCAAGGGCTCGGAAAGATGCAACCAGTAGTCTTAATGCGTGTAAAGCATCTTCTGAGGGGCTGCCAACAAAAGAGATGAGGAAACCTTCAGTTCATACCCAGAGTAAGAAAACAATAAAAAAAAGGGTCTCATGGATGTGACCTGGGAGGCTGCCATTTGAGTTTCGAGACAAAGGAAGAGTTGAGGTTGCACAAATGGAATCGGTGTGCGTATGATGGATGTGGAAAGAAATTCCGTTCCCACAAATATGCAATCCTTCATCAACGAGTCCATGATGATGATAGGCCCCTCAAGTGCCCATGGAAAGGTTGTTCCATGTCATTCAAGTGGGCATGGGCTAGGACTGACCATATACGGGTGCACACCGGAGAACGCCCATATAAGTGCAAGGTTGAAGGCTGTGGCCTCTCATTCAGGTTTGTTCATTAATTAGTTTTGAGTTAGTTTTATAAGTAATTTTAATTTATCAGTAATGAAAATTTCATGAAATTAATTTGCTAACAGCAAAAGTTCAATCCGATAAAAAAATAAAATTCTGAATTAAATCCATTTTTCATTTAGAAAGCAGATGTCAAAAGATCACAGTAAATATACACAACCACAATAACTTCTGAAACAAGCAAACACAAATATAAGCTGAAACATTAAAACGGAATTTCTGGATATTAAGTTTCAGTATTTGACTGAGAATCCAACTAAAACCACACAGAAGCCCCCTCTCATTTATTCGAGTACCATGAAGCTCAAATAAAACAGCTAAAGATTGCCATTCTGATAAGCTTGAAGATGATCACCGGTCAGCCTGCAAATTCTCCATTCAGGCAAGACTTGAGCACCCATTTGTTCATAAAACTTAATGGCATTTACGTTCCAATCCAAAACCACCCATTCGACTCTCCCGTACTCCATTTTCACCGGCTGCTTCGCCACTGCCGACAGCAACATTTTCCCAAACCCTTTCCTCCTATAGCATTCTCTGACGAACAAATCCTCTATATAAAACCCTGGTTTCCCCAGAAATGTAGAGTAGTTGGGGAAAAACAAAACGAACCCAGCGATCGCAACTTGATCATTTCCATAATGAACCGAAAAGGCATCTTTTTCAGGGTCGTCTAAGGGGAGGTCGAAGTACAAAGTTTTCTCTATGGGGGTGAAAGAGGGGGAGGGGGAAATGGAAGGGAGTGGAGTGGAGGAATAGGAGAAGAGGAAAGTTCGAGGAGGAAAACTGCCAAGGACTGGAAAGGAGGGGAGACGAAAAGGGTGGAAGAGAGGGAGGATTCCGTGGCGGTGAAGAGGTGGGTCAGCTTTTCATAGACGGCCATTTGGTGGATTAGTTTGTGGATGAAAGGGACGTCTAAAGGGGTGGCTAGGCGGATCCTGGTGAACACAGGGTGGCCTATCGGAGTTGTTTCCGCCATGGATGCGTCCGGGACATCGGATGGTGGAGCGGTGGAGCGGCGGCGGCCATTGGATTTGGAGGTGTTTGTGAGTGACAAGACAAGTGGAAAATTTGAGAGGTCTCTAGAGAGTGCGATGTGGAGAACGGAGGGTGGAGTGGGGACTTCAAGGAATGTAAAAATGTAATTTGAGTGGGAAAAGGAGGGTATTTGTCTCAAGATATTTTTATAAAAATTAAAGAAAATATATTTAAAAAAAATTCAAATTATAATAAACATGGAATGAACTCCATATGCAAAAATATAAGAAAAAGGGATCCAATAGCTTTCCCGATGTCACCTATGAGAATTCATCCTCAACCTGCCTAATGCTGTTCGTTATTTACTTTTCAATTTTTCAACTATTCCTAATGATTATTTATTTTTAAATTTATCCGCATCAAAATAGCATTTAAATTTATTAATAAACAAGACTGAAAAATGTCAAAGAAGTCTCATCCCTTTCATATTTGCGTGTTTAAATGGCCCCCTTTCCACCTAAATCTTCAAGAGTTGGATTCAGGGTATCAACAGAGCCTTTCTTCACTTCTTCCCCTCGAGCAGCTAGATAATCCTCTATGCTTCCGGGTTCCCCAAACCACCCGAGCCGATCCGCGATCAGATGTAAATTATTACACCCTCCACATCTTGCCACCACCACACCTTTCTCATAAGATTCACGGCAAACTGTCTTCACAGATCGCGTTTCACAGACTTTGCACGTAAATATCATTGCAAGATCGTGTCTTGCCGACATTTTCAAGTTAGATATAGCATTATGCTTCACGGAAGAACCGTTCGTCTCAGAAGGTACATTGGCCATGCAAGAAGCAGGTTTAAACTGTCAGCTTCGTGGATCTTGGTGTTATCATTAGCCTGGCCGGAAGGATCGGGTTGATTCTGGAGCCATCTTCTAAAAAAGTTATACCTAGTGCCCAAGGATACACTTGCAGAAGATAAGGCTGGTGAAGGAGGTTCTTTCAGCAAAGGGTTAACATTCAGAACTAGAAAGGCAAAAAAGAATTGCAATCTATGGTTCTCTGAATCTTCATTTATCTTTTAGGTACACATGTCCAGAACATTTTAGGAGAAGAGTACCGGGATGTGACCCCCTAAAGAACTCTTTTAAATGGAAAAACTTTAACAATTGAACACATCCGTGTCAGACATATATACGGACGACATGTTACTCAGACTCGAGTGTGAGTGTCAAACAATCATGTTCGAAAAGAGTACATTCATTTTTCTTTTGAAGATTTACATAGTTGGAGACTCCATGCATCAAATATGAGTGTCAAACAATGGTACATCAAGAAAATCGAAGAATAACAAAGGTTATAGTGTTCAACTTTCTTGGCACATCTACTAACAAAAGAAAAGAAGGCCTAAAGTCTCATCGATCGGAAGACTTTACAGTTTAAACATGATAATGAGCATACACAACCACTTCATTATCCACTACTAAATCAGACTTGCCTTGATTTTCAGTTGCCATTCCTCAAGGGAATCTGCTAAATATGTAGGATTGAGAAAACTATGGAAAGCTAACCCCTTTAACGCAGCTAGAAAACATCCGTCTGTTACACTAAAAAAACTATTACCACCTCAATGACCCAAAAACATTTCTAACGCAGAAGAACTAAACCTTAAACTCTGAACAGCTAGTTCTAGGCAAAATCGTTAACACTAGATCTTTGAATGGAAGTCCCGGTAAAAATTTCTAAATAACAGATTGATGAAACCAGCCAATGAGCTAAACACAATGAACCAAACTCAAAACATGGAGCCATTTAGGCCCCTAGCTGTAAAGAAGTGCCTATGTTATCATAAAGTATACACTGACATTTGCATAAATTTCTATTTCTCATAAATTGAACTTAGATTCATCACAATCAGACCTGTATTCACAATTCCCCGGCATTAAACTACTCAAAGTAACCTCTGGTTTTCTATCCTCTACCCCGCTATGCTATCATTTAACAAGACTACTGATAATACCACAAAAAATTAGATATCCCTCCCCTAAGAATACAGCCATGTTTCACATGCATTGCAATAATGCATGCTAATACACTTTACATCAAAAATATGACCCTCTTTGAGGAACCTCTCTAAATACATGGAAAAACTTCAAAAAATTGAGCATAAATATACTGGACTAGTACCTACATCTGAAACTCACACCGAATTCGAATAACATAGCTATGAACTGTTTTATATTACCACACTGTTTTGAAAACATTGTACCAGGGAAAAAAATCCACAGCACAAGAAAAGATCAAGATTTTCAATATATCTCAACCAGGGGCGGATGTACATGGCTCCCTAGGGGAGCCAAAATATTAAATTTAGTTTAATTTGTTAATAAAAATAGAAAAAAATAAGAAAATTTACATTCCCAAAATTTTTTAAAATAGGTTATCACAATTTTGGACCCCTATTTTTTAATTTCTAGATCGTCACTGATCTCAACTCACAGCCTTTCATTTCAAAAAATGCAAGACGAGGAAACCCAAAAGGTTGTCTTTAGACAAAATAAAAACCCAAATGTTCTATTGATTGAAAGTGCTGAAACAAATGCAAAGAAACCCCAATTCGTAAAGTTCCACAGACGCACACCCCAGTTTTCAGCTCATATGAATAAAGCCCTAGTAAGAGAAACACAGAAACATTAAAACTACTGTAAAAAAGTACCCGCCGAAACTGAGACATCTTCAGGCGAAAGACGCGAGAGAACGGTTTGAACCCGACGAATCAATTATTGGAAGATTATATTCAACGATTCAATATGTTTAATCTCATCTCCTCTTATAATACTAATTAAATTGAAACAATAATTATTTTCAATTATTGATTAAGAAATGGAAGTTATTTTTATCTTCTTAGAAAATAATGAAAAAATATTAAAAAAAAACTGAATAAAAATAGAAAATGTTTTTTAAACAAAAACAAAAGGCAGTGAAAAACTCAAAACGTAAAGATGATGATTTCGGTGTTTCATTAGAAAACTGTTTTCGAGTTTTCAGGTTTTAAATTAGAGGGAAAAAATATCTATGATTATATTTACAATCAAACAAAAGAACACCGATGCTTTGTAGAATTTGGGCTTCAATTGCAGAATCGATCCTGAAAGCTTTAAAGCTTGTGCTTCCCTCGTCACTCACGACGACTTGGAGTCTTATATTCAACGATTTTTTTTGGTATAAAGAAAGGGCAAAAACGACAGTGTTTAACCCTACCACCTAATGAATTCAATTCCCACTTTGTCTGCCTGAATCAAGCTCTTCATTTCCTCCAGTGGGGATATCAGAATGTGAACTCCTTCCTTCTAGACAGAAAAAACCTTTCAATAACATTACCTTCTTCAGAATAACGACTTTAAAATCACACATTTCCCTTCCTAGGCATAGAACCAACATTCGTTTAGCAACCTCAATAAATTATGAGGGTGTGACAGGACCTTTCCTGCAAAAAAGACAAGATGGAGTGTTGCAGATCAAGTTTTTGCAAGAGAATTCGAATAATTGGGGCATACTATGAGAAAATGAAAGAAGAAAAAATAAAGAGAATCATTGAAATAATTCTATCATGCATTAATTACATTGTTTTCATGTAAATACGATTAATCATGAATACTCGTCCCCCTAGGGATATCTCTTTTACAAAGACTTCCGTGTATGAGATGATGAACAGCTTTGTTTCATTTATCCTTTTATATGTATATATACCCATTGTTTTCCCCTTTTGAGCCTATAATATTGTTTCTTATGATTCAACTCTAACCAAGTATCACCCTCAACAATGGGGGGCAAAGATAAATGACATCTACTCGCATGAGTGAACATCATCAATCTGGATTTCACTACAAAGGCAAGTCATAGGAAGAAATAACAAGATATCACAAGGTGAATCAATCAAATACGAAGAATTCGAAGATCAAATCGAGTTAACAACACAGAGAGAAAAAGAAGAGATATAGAAAAAACAGAAAAAGAAAGTAAAAACAGGAAAAAAGAGAGAAAAACAAAAAGAAAAACAAAAAAAAGAGAAAAAGAGAAAACATAAGAAAGCGGTAAAAAAGGAAAAAAAGAAAAAAGAAAAAAGAAGAAAATAGACAGATCCAACACTTCAAGATGAGCAGTTTAAAGATCTAGAATCAATTCATTAGAAAATCAGAGAACACCAAAAGAAAATAAAAAAAAGGACACGCGAGAAGATTCAAATAAGGCAGAGTAAGATTGAAGATGGCAGAATGAATTGATCTTTGGTTCGATAACCCTTAAACACTTGTTTGGGCCTATTTATCATTTTCTTTCATAACCATGAGACATAGCCTACATTACGTGCCTGAAAAGTCCCTTCTAATCATACATGGATTTCTAAGTAGAGAGACTATCTTCAGATTTCATTTCGCCCCTCAGGGTTAATTTTATTTGCAAAAATTAGATTTCTAAAATCTTTAATGCATGATAGAAAAAAATAATAAAAAGAGGGTTCAAGACGTAAAATTTTAGATGACGTTTTGAAACTAAAGGAGAATTTGAGTTGGAAACTTGAAAAGGCGGCTCGAACACGAAGATTGTCAACCACTGTACAGAAGGACAATCTTATACATCTCTTGATAAAGCAATGCACAATCCAAAGGCGTTCGCGAAGGTTAGGAACCAGTGAACATTTCTAGAAGAGAAGCATGATTGTTGCTTCATTAGATCAATGAAATCCTTAATCGAGAACGCAAGAAGCCAACCTGAAATACATTACCTCCCCAAAATAACCTGAAGCACATTACCTCCCCAAATTAACCTGAGCCTTTTATCAACATTAATCTTTACACTTTTCAAATATATATAATTTTTGAATGATTAAAAGGAAAAATTAATTGATTTGATATTCAAGGAATTCTTGTTTTACAAATTGTTTTGATTGTGAGCCTGAAGAAATTGATAACGTTTTTTAAATTTATTCAACAATTTTTTTCACATTTCTAAAAAAGAAAGAAAGAAGAGAAACATTTTCAAGCAAGATAGTCTCAAGTGAAAAAGGTCATTGAAGCTGATGAAGCTCATTCTGCCTCTAACGAAGAAAAGAGCAAACGATGCCAGAACAATGAAGTATTTCTTAAAAGAAGATAGTCTGAGAGATCATAAGGACTAGATGATGGAACTTCTAACACTTCATTGTGAAATTATAAGAACCAGATGATCGCCTTAGTTGAAGGTGACACATATCCTAGCTCATAGAAAATATGAAAGACAGTCACGTTAGAGAAATTGATCACTTTTTAAGTGTCAATCTGATGGTGAAATCATGAAGAGAAGCCCTCAAGCTATCCGTTAACATTACTGGTTAGTGATATAAGAGCAAGACCATTCGAGACAAAGATTTTGGCACAAAGAGAGCCATGAGAACCCACACTGAGGCATTACCAAAGCCAGATGTCTTTAAAATCACAAGATTTAAACCAAACATACATGATGAATAACCCTCGTCGCTTGGAGTGCCAGGGTCGAAAGATGAATACAACTAGAGCTTACCCAAAGAAATGGATCTTCACGCTGCATTTAGCCAAAGACTCTAGAGAAACAATTCTAATTGAAATGTCAAGTCAAAGATGTACAAGGAGCCAAGTCATCTACCTGATCGCAACAAGAATTCAAATGAGAAAGCACTTCTTCTAGAATCATGTTGAAGAAGCAAGACAAAATATAGAAGATGAGAGGGACATAATTGTTCCAGAAGATTAGTTTGACCATGCTATTGTTAGGGGCAAACTCTATACAAGAGTGAAGGAAGGCCGAGATCTCCATTTTGAAGCCAAAAGATGATTATTTCTGCACATAAGAAAGTCATGCATTACATGTTGTGTTCATATTTCATGCATCAAAGCATATTTTTTTTACAGATTTTCCAAGAAAAGAAGAGAATAAAAAGACAGAATTCAAGCCTTGAATGAAGGGAATTATATTTCAATTGGCATAACCTCAAGAATTGAGGAGCCCAATCCAAGAAGAATCATTACTTTGATGTGGGGGCACGTTACCCAAACAACATGATATTTTCAAAATATTTTTTAAGAAACTAAGCCTGATTTTCAGGGGTTTCAATGAAATTTTATAAGAAACAAAGCTTGAGGGACCAACGTGATATGTAGGGGTTCCTTATAGACAATTAAGAAACTAAGTTTGATTTTCAAGGGTTTCTTAGTGAGTAAGTTCTTCGGGCCATCGGTAAGTCTTTCGAGCATGATGCTTAAATCCTTCGGGTTATCTATAAGTCTTTCGAGCAAGATGATAAGTCTTTCGGGCCATCCATAAGACATTCGGACAGGGTGTTTTCAACATTTCTGATACTCGATTCATCACATATAGAGTTGAATCAGCAACACCTCACTCGAGGGACCAACGTGATATGTAGGGGTTCCTTGATGACAACTAAGAAACTGAGCTTGATTTTCAAGAGTTTCTTAAAGAGTAAGTCCTTCGAGCCATCAGTAAGTCTTTCGAGCATGATGCTTATATCCTTCGGGTCATCTATAAGTCTTTCGAGCAAGATGATAAGTCCTTCAGGCTATCCATAAGACCTTCGGGCAGGGTGTTTTCAACATTTTTGATACTCAATTCATCACAAATGAAGTTGAATCAGCAACACATCGCTAGAAGGATCATCATTTCCAGTGAAAATACCAGGATGAGAAGAACCCACGACTTGAAGATGGAGACTCAGCCAAGAAAATGAAGCAAGATGACATCATTTGCAGCAAGGACTCGACGATTTCACAGAATGAGAAGAATTGACATTCCCAGTGAAGAGTTCGCAACGTGACAAGAAGAGATCAAGATTAAAAATTGTGCTATTTTATCTTTGCTTCATTCATGTTTCACAGTAATGAGCAAATAGGGGCAGCTGTGAGCACCATACTTAATTGAAATGAGCACAAACCTATTCCCCACGTGAAGCACAAACCCCACCACTATCCCATGTGCTTGCACATCATTTTTTATTTCAAATCCCATACCATACCCATGCCTCCACCTTGGCCAACGAGCTGCTCCAAACACCAACACCCCACTCCACTTGCAAAGACAGAACACAAGAAAGTGGAGTGTTTCTTATTATTCAATTGTAACTGGGTATTTAACCCAAGCAAACAGTCTGTAAAAAGGGTCAGAAAATCCTTGCAAAGAACACACTGTAAACTCATCTTCAAGAAATAACAAGACTACAAAAGTTGTCTAACACATATTGTTTGTCTCTTTTATTATTATTATTCGAATGCGTTTTTAGTTATGATCTGTTTATTTCGAGTTTAATAGTTAGTTGTTTTTTTTTCTTTTGTTATTTTTTTGCTCGATCAGACACCATATAGTACCCTATTTCTTAAAATTTTTGTGGTAATTTTTCTAAAAAGCCCAGACCTTGCATGTTCGAACCGGAGACGAATATAAACCTTTTATTTTCTTTCGAGCATAATATATATATATTCGAGATAATATGTATAAAAAAATAAATAAGTTTTTTTAACTCTAATCATCCCAACTAACCAGTAAAATAACAAAAATGAATAAATGGGGAATAGTTTCGAATCTACCTGAGAAATGAAGGGGTCTCGTTGTAGTTGGGGTCGTAGGGTGAGTCATCTGTGAGGAGGTCGAGTTCTTTTCGGGTTAGAGTCGAGGTCATTTGTGGTTTTTTTTGTGTGTGTAAGGTTCGGTTTGAGTGGATAGATCAAAGAGAGACGAGCGTTTTGGGTTTAGTTGAGGGGCTCCGACCAACTCATGTGGTGGCTGGAGCGACAGCTGGAGGGGCGACGTTAGGCTCCGGCGAGTTTCTCGCCCGAGGGGAAAGAGGGAGAGTTGAGAGTGTTTAGTTTTTTTAGAGGTTGGGGTTTAAAATGAAATGAAAAGAGGTTAAAGTGTATTATATAAGGTTAATTAATGGGTCATCTCGCTTTAGGTCCCCTTAGTTCTTTCCATGTTTTGCATTCCAGTCCCAAGGGAGGGATCATTTCTGTCATTTACCGTGTTTGTACATGTGTTATTACTTATTGAACTATTTTTTAATTAGGCCCCCTAAATTTAAGCACATTTTTACAGAATAGCCACCAATTAATCTTTTTATTTGTTTCAATTTTAGTTAATTTGTTTTCTGTCATTTTATTTTGATCACCATTTTTATTATTTTGTTCATTTTAGTTTAGCTACTGTTTTATTTATTTATTGCAGTTTGGTCACCATTTCTTTTTATTTTGTAAGATTTGTGAATTGGGTTCTTGGTTTTGTATTATGTTAATTTAGTCCTTTTCTGAATTTTTTTTCTTTCGAGATTAGCTACTGATATTTATGTTTTTCTGTTTTAGTCCTGTATCTATGGTTTTATTATGATTCTGGTGCTTCTATTTTGTTATTTTCTTGTCTCATGACATGATATTTGTTTATTAATGTTTAGGATACTAAGGTTACTATGCATTTATTTTTGTCACCATGTAATGAATAGATTCATATGTATATTGTCTATTTGTACCATTAACATATGTTTTTTTTATTTTTTAGAGATTTATTTTGCTTGTATTATTATATATTATAATATTATATACAAATTATTTTAATATTAAATTCTTAGGAAAAATTATTATATTCATTTTATTTCAATTAGAAAGAGGAATATTCGTCCTAAATTATTTTAGGGAGTATTTTCTCTTCAATTAGAAATAGGAGAATATTTTCTATTTTTCCTTAGAATTTTTGTTCTCTAAAATTGTATGGTTGAACTCGGAATAATGGAATCGTGATTTAAATATGTATTCAAATTCTTAGATTTCTACTAATTAGAGACAACATATAATCGATAGGTATCAATTTTGGGCGTTGTGGGGGTGCTTATCCTTCCCCACACGTAATCGACCCCCGAACCCGTTTTATTATTAAAAAATGAATTTCTGGTTACACATAGATCGGTAAATATTTTAAATGATGTTTTCCTAAAAACTCTTTTAAAAGAAAAATTTTAGGTATTCGACCTACCTAACTCAAAAGGTCGATGGCGACTCCGAAACATTTCTTTTACAAAATCGGGTTTTCACAAAATAAGTCGAGACTCGTCGCACCGCCGGAAATCAGTTACGACAATATCCCAGTTCACTAAATGATTATGGGAGTGATATGTTCCCCCTCCACATTGGAAATTTCGATTGATAGTATCCAGTTTAGTGCAAACCTATTTTGTGAGTAAGGTAGTTTGCATGGTGTGTATAGGGATAGCTGTTGTGACCCACTGAATTAGAGTATGTCGTCCTGCTAAAGAGAACATTTTTCCTTTCCAACCAGCTAGCTTTTTTAACACTTTATTGATCAACGGAGCATATGTTTCTGAATTAGCTCTCTTGTGAATTATAGGAACTCCCAAGTAGATGCCTAAGTTATTTGTTCTCGGAATACCACTTCATTCACTGAGGCGATTCACAAACTCCTCATTAACATTTGGTGAGATAAAGAGCTTTGATTTTTGGAGATTAACCTCCAGACCCGAAGCATCGCAGAACTCTTGAAGACACTCACTAACTCTATCAATCTTCTCGACGTTTGCTTCAAAGAAAAGTAGAAGATCATCTGTGAAATGTAGGTGCTAATATTAGTCCCTCCTCTAAATAATTTAATAACTTTCCAAATTTTATTATTCAAATCTTTCTAAAATCACATGAGAAAGATGTTCCATAACAAGAATGAATAAGGGGATAAAGGATCTCCCTATCTGAGTCCTTGTCATGGACAAAAAAATTCAGTTGTTTCACCATTCCACAGAGGATTAATTTTGCTGTTTTTGATGCAAAACATGATGAGCTTGATAATTTCCTCTGAAAAATTGAAGTCATGAAGAGTGTTGCGGAGGAAAGATCAATTCACTCTGTCATAAGCCTTCCGAAGATCGATTTTCATAATTCATGCTCCCTTTTTTCCTTTAAGATTCATGAGAGTATGCACGGCTTCTTGAACCACGATGATGTTTTCGACCGTTATTCTGTATGGTAGAAAGCTTTTTTGAAAGGGGCCAATAATTCTTTGATGCATTGGATGGAAACGCTGAACAAGAACTTTAGTAAAAACTTTATAAGAAGTATTAAACAAACTACTAGGGCGAAAAAGGGTTAAATTATCTGCTGCCCCTGTTTTAGGAATGAGAATCAAGAACACCTTCAGAATTTCAGGATCAATATTACCATTGTCTAACACCGATTGAGTAAATTTCAATAAAGTTTCCTTAACGATGTCCCAATTGCTTTTGTAGATAATCGGTTGAATCCCATCTGGCCCCGAGGTTTTGAGACTTTTCATAGAGAAAACTGTTGCCTTTAATTCTTCCATGGTAACCTCCTTGGTTAGAATAATTCTCTCTTCAGTTGATAAAATAAGCTTGAATTTATTATAGCCTTGTCTCAAATTAGTCACGTCTCTATGTTCGAACAGCTTGCTGAAAAAATCCACCACATGGTTGATTAAAACTTCTTTTTCGGTACACCAAAAATTGTGTTTCTTTCCCCTTTCAAGGTCCAATCCAATCTATATTTCTGCAACCATAGGATCTCTTCTTGATTTAGGATTTGTTGATACTCTTCATTCAGACATCTTTCAAGAGATTGCAACCTTTCAGACCTGAAATACTTGGCTGAATTTTGAATACCTTTCAGCCTGTTTTTCAAAGTGCGCTTCTGCTTGAAAATATTTTCAAATGCCGACGCCTTCCAATCTTTAATCTTTTTAGTCATAGCTTCTGAAATAATGGTCTCTTGTTGTTTTACTTGGTTTGGGCTTCCTGGTTCACATCTTCCTTTTGCATTTCCTGTGTAGTTTCTTGTTGAACATTCTCAAGATGTCTAATCGGACATTGGTCTTCTTTATGTCCTACCATACCACATTTAAAGCAGATCATATGTAGTCCCTCATACTCGATGTTGAATGTGAATTTTCCCAGTCTAACATTGGATAATAAGGGTTTCCTCAAATCGATTTCGACACATATTCTTGCAAATCTTCCTCTTGTTGCCCATGTCGCACGGTAATCTACTTTAAAGGGTGCCCCTTCCAGTTTACCAATGTTAACTAAGATTCCCTCGTCGAAATATTCAATGGGTAAACCTGGATGTGGATCCAAACTGCTGTTGAAGAGACGCTTCTTCCGCAAAAAAAAAAAAAATGGTTTCCGTTTCTGTACGGTTAGGTACCATGGTCCCCCTGTTAAAACTTTTAGTCTGTCATTGATACTTTGAAATTTCACCACATAGTATCCGTTTCCAAGATCGATGCAATCAAAATCGCTCTCAAGATTCCACATAGCAGTAATTCGGCTGATCAAGGTTTTGTAGGCAATGGATTTACCCAGTAGTTTTATTATTAGTGCTTTCTTCCATGGTTTTCTGATTTTCTCTTTGATTTCTTTGGGAATCTTTACCGTAGGAATATCATCACTAACTATTTCCTCTTTTTCCTCAGATTCGTATTCTTCTTCCTCATGTATCGAAGAACCTTGAAAAATGCCAGTGAAGATTGGTGAATCTGCCACAGTATCACTCCAAAATCTGGTCCAAGTTCTTTCTTCGGTTGCTTCTTCCCCTCCAGAAGGGCGAAATCTTTTGTTACCATTGTTAGTCTGATCAGTTGTTTCTCCCGCCTGTGACACCGTGGTGACCAGCGGGTTATCTTCATCCATGCAAACCTATTACCACTTCCACTTTTTTTCTACCTTAATTTTGTTAGCTATCATTTAATCAAATAAAATTTTGTAATATATTGCATCTCGGGTATCACTCAAAGAAAACTTAATTTTGTCAGTGAAGCAATAATGAAATCTATTTTGTTGTTGCTGAAATTTATGATATAATGTGAGGATGACAAATTGTTTGTGGTATTGTTATTGAGAATGAGAAAGTTTTGCAATTCATTTATAGTAGTAAGAAAAGCAAAACCTATGGTGTGATGGTGAGGAGGCTTTCACTAATTATTTTCCTTAAACTCAAGATCGAGAATGCCATTCTTTGTTCATGTTTGTGAGAGAAAAGTCATTATCCTTAGTCCAAATATATTGTCGTTGCTTAAGCTGATTTTATTTGGTTCTCGATCAATTCAATTGAATGTATTGTTTAATTATTTGATTATTAATTTTTATTTGTAAGTGTTTTGTATTTAATTGTAGGCAAGTAATATGTGATAGATGTTGGATATCCAAGTATATCAAGTTTTTTAGCACCATTTGATGGACACATGTATCACGCACGTGATTTTATAGGCAGACATCAATCGAGATATGCATAATTTTATTAAGTTGGAAGTTGAAAAGGACGAATTATTTGAAGATGGTGAAAGAGAATGTCGAGAAGGTATTTCGTCCGACGAAAATAAGTGTCGATGTTTTCTAAATCTCGTCTCGGAAAAATAAGTTTTTTCTTCTTACATATGATAAAATATAATTTATGGAGTCGCCATCAATCATTTTTTCGAGGTGTGATTGGTCACCAAAAATGCTATGTTATTTTAATAAAATTTATAAAAAAAAATAATATTAAAATAATACAAAAAATGTCTGCTTATCAGAAAATGAGTTCGGGAGTCGGTTACGTGTAGAGAATGATTAGCA